AAAAACCCCTCACAGAAAACCCAATACAGGATAAAAGGACAAAGATACAAATAGGAATCCTGGTTTGGATGGTCAGATGTTAAGACCATTGTGCTGACAGGCTGAAGATTCTGCCTGCCATCTCCAACACAACTGAAAATTAACTCTGCCCCAGCTCTCAGTGATATGCACTTGGAAGCTTTGTCCTGAAATAGCCTTGTAGCCAGTAGAAAACTAGAGAAACCTTGGTGCAGAATTCAATGCATGTGAACTATCATTCAAGTCTGAAATTGCACTGTGCAGATTGTAAAGCTTTGTAATAACTTCAGAAATATCAATAAGGCTACTAGAATTCCTGTCAAAATCCTCTGTTTATACCCAGGTTACTCTTTGTGGTTTTAATTACAGACACGGGAAAACGTTACTACAATTGGTTTACACAACTACTTAATGGAAGATTTTAGCTTTTCTAAAATTATCTGACCCTTTTTCCTATTTCAATTCTGAGTATTCCAATTATTTTTTAATTAACTTCTAAGAGAAGAGGCACTGAAAAAAATATCCAACCTTTTATATATATAAAACCTTTCAAAAGATTCTTAGCTTTACTCAAGTTGAATAGAACATTAATTTTATATAGCTAAATGTAACCACAATAAAAGTTTGGAGAGTCTTTAGCTATCAACAAACATTCTAAGGTTTTGAAAAGCTATGGAAATCCAACAAAACTAGACCACTGAAATGTGAACATGAAATTAGTTAATTAAAAGAACAATGAAAAATTATGTGCTTTTCTCATTATTAAGATAATTTACAGTAGAACTTCATTGATTCTCATACTCTAATCCTACACACTGTAATTAAACTGAAACTTCTCACTCACTCCTCGGAAAAGTCTAAGAAATTTTGACTAAAATTTAAAACCAGCAAACATTCAATAGTCATCAACAAGATAAAGAAGAACTAGGAAGAACAGGAGTACATACCAAAACTTCCTGTTTCGTATTAAATGGACACAAAAGTAAGCAAATCAGTAAGAAAAAAGTAGCAATT